AAATAAATAACACACAAGCACACAACAGTAAAAATATCAACCCTCCTAAAAATACTGTTTTCCTCGGCAAACACCTTGGCTAACAGTATTTTCCTTGATATGATATTTTAACTGTAACCCACAAACCCATGTGTTATTTATATACTACTCCATAACCAGTGTGACTCAATCTAATATTATATACTCATTAGCTTTTTGTTTATTAGCACATGTGTCAGCATTACTTTACCTATCTGATAGTAGTTTTGTTTGTTAATCAAGTTGTTATGTTTTAATAGCTCTGCAACATTTACAACTGTGTATTTGCACATGTGAGCATCAGCTGTTCCTAAGAAAGACACTGAGCTGTTTGGTGTCCAATGTCTGACTGAAGTTTGAAATTGAAGTTTTGTGTTTTTTCCTGACAGGCCACAATTATGTGCACTACAAAAATAGCCTGTTCTAAGCAACATTTTAGAAAAGAATTTTACCACCTAAAGATTTTTACCACCTGGTTCTCAGTCTCTATCTCTAGAACAGCAGCGCAATGTACTTTCACTGTATTTTATAGGTTGTTTGAAATGTTCAATTATATTTATAATATGAAAAATATCAGTTTGACAGCAGCATGTACAAAAGATTTTAGAACATCATGAAGTAAACACCCTTATATCACATATTAACTGCTATTTTTATGAAATGTTCTGCTTTGAAAGTGAGTTAATTTATACAAGATTTCTAAATTGGTTTCTTAAATTCATTCTTACATATTTTGGTCAAATTCCTACTTTTTATCTAAGATCTTAGAGTAAAGGTTACTTTTATCCAACTCCTAATTACCACAGGAAAATTATTATCAATTATTCAAATTAAGTTCAAACACTTATATAGATGGTTATACAAAACTTTTATTTCAAATAAATCTCTAAAGAAAGAAGACGATTTCAGAATTCCGGACACGGGCACATATATGGTAGATATCTTAGTATAATCATAGGAAAACATGTTCAACAGGTGTGATAATGAAAAATATCGAACCTTTCACAGCGTACAGTTATTTTATCGCACCAAAATCCAGCGTACACTTAAATATTTTGACCAGTAAGCGTCTATGTATATCGGAGCACAAAGGTACTTGCTATGCAACTCAATTATGATTACTCTTATAGCATAAAAAAGAAAAAGAAATTAACTATAATAATATAAGCTTGCATTAAGCGATTTTATTAACCGACCCAAAATTAGTTGCCGTCAGTTTACCTTCAATAACTTTTTTAATTATGAATTTAGGCCTCTGTAATTTTAATGAAATTTGTGTCGGTCCTACCTTCACATCCTCATCCTCAATACATAATACGCAATTGTAATCGAAAATTTATGAAATACTTAATAAAAAACACTCACTCTGACGTGTGTTTACACGGGTAAATCCGCCATTAGGACGTATCGCATGAAATCACCTCGCTTAAAGGAGTATCGCACCGCTATACGTTCGACCCCCTTGATTTATAATTAAACTTGTCAGTTGACCTAAAGTCATCGTCATGTTGTAAGGTAAACTAGAAATGATATATGTTGTTTGGATTGGGACTTGTCTGTCAAATTTGGTCGGACACATTGATTGATGAATTTCCAATTACATGTATATATTTTTTAATAGATTACATCAACAATCTTACAACAGCACACGTGGGCACGCCATGGTAATAAAAATCTCGAAACAAAGTGATCCCTCGGAATAAGCCATATCTGCAATTCTCGTATTTTTATATGCAAAACACAAATGTCTTTGACTGTTCCAGTTTTGAGTGTCTTGTGATTAATCCAAAACACCAAGCTCATTATTGTCATGATTGAAATATTTATTGCGAATACATGTACACGTGTATATATAAGTACGCTACTACTATGACGTTTAGCCATTTTATTGAATTTGAGGTGCGGACATTAACAAAAGTTGTATGTATCAACATAAGAATGATATCATAATTGATCAAAAAAGAAAAGAAACCACTGTCGATTATCAATGAGGATAGTCTATTAATGTTCCACAGAAAAAGGCTGTCTCTGTTTATCTTCCTAGCCTTGTAGGAGTACCGGTTTCTCCACTGGATGGCAGACCGCTCGGTGCAGATAACTGCGGCACCACTGAGTGTGATATAGCGGTAGTTACCGGAATAGGTTCAGTAGTATCATCTATGTACATTAGATGGATGGATTTTGAAATAATTTGGCACAAACGTTCACCATCGTAAGAAGATGTACCCGGTATGCAGACACATCTCTAACCTTTAATAATAAAGGTCAATGTCAAGTATGGGTCAACACCAAATGTTGACATTTCAGACGAAGGCTGCTTTTGTCCAAATGAAATTTTGTCAAAACATCAAGGCTTTGGCTTAAATAAGAAAGAATATATAACAGATTAGTTATAATCTGTCCAAGTGACCTTGACCTTCAACTCAGGGTTGCGGCTGTATATAGCGACACGTCGTCTCGTGATGGTGGACATTTGTGCCAAGTTATTTCAAAACCCACTCATTCATATAGAAGTGGACGTTTAACCTCTAAGTGTGACTTTGACCTTCAGTGCGGAAATGTGTCTTATACTGGGACACATCTTATGATGGTGAACATTTGTGCTAAATTATTTCAAAATCCTTCATCCATGTAGAAAGAACAAAGCGGTGACGAACTATTTCTACCCAGTTTGACAGTGTTGTGGAGACATAATTACATACATTTGTAGTAGCTATTTATATATTTACAGCTGTTTAGTCGTGTTGCATTGACGTTTTAGACGCAGGTTGACTGTTAACCATACCAATTTTTTGAGCTCGAAAAACAATAAAGCAATGCCGTTTCAGCGTCATGTGCCATTTGTAAATCCGGTTTCAAGAGTTTAGCCAATTCTTTAAAGTCTTTATTTCTGTTCTTCGAAATTGAATACATCCGTTGACAACAAATTACGTCTTGTATATCAACTTTTGTACTGAAATCTAGACTATCAAATAGTTCGGGTAAATAGAACATTACGTCAGGTTTTCCATATTGAGCTCGTTATTCTTTTGGGGTCTAATAGCGTGAGTATTCCAGTTTTGAGCAATTCGATCAAGGTGTGTTTGAATTAGATCCATGAAGCAAAACTTCAGATTAACAGAGTGGACTGGGTCGAGTTTATCATATCGTCAAGAATCACGCAATTCTTTAAAAAAGCTGAGCCACCACTGTAAATCTTTTTGTCGTAAAGAGCCTAACCAACGTTCAACTCGCTGATTGGAAGTACTTTTACCAATTATAACACTTTTTGTGTTTTGCAAAAGCGTCAATTGCATTGTACCGAAAGACCTGTTGTAAAAAGGTATACATCAGAGTTTTCTGTTCTAGCATCACAACGTATGATACGAGTGTCTTTTCAATTGACTTCAGGGAATTTAAAAAAAATACTTTGGAATGAGGTATGGATTATTGTTTGTATCCGATACCTCTAGCCAGATCAGTCTTCTACTTAATCTATCAATAATACCATGGATACAAAATCCAAAGGGTTTTTAACTTGCAATAACCATCTAAATGCCAAATATAGTTGGGACCTTTCGCACAATAAACACGCCTTTTGAGACGATAGGTTCTTCTCAGATCAGATGAGTGCCCCCAGGATATAAAATCTTCATTACCTCCATAACTTCCTGATGAGTTGTCTTCACATTATGATTAATTTGAAGCCGTTGCCACAAAAACCTATTACCCATAGTTTGTCCACAAGTATTCAGCTCTTTGTGAATGGTATTAATAACTGTGGGGTTGTAATCCCCGACGTTTTATTTTTAAACTTCTTTAGGAATCTATATAATTGCCGCATTAACAACAAAATTTTATGTCTATTTAATAAAAATCCTAGAATCTCGGTGTATTCGAAAACCAAGTTTGTAATATTCAATAATAAGTTCGGACATCTGTTTCAAAGTTTGCTTTGGCAAATAGGTTGGTACAACACACATCACCACATAAAAAAGTGCCAAATCATTAATAATATGAGCCCAATCTTCATTTTATTTCTGTTCATCTATATCAGTATCTGTCAGTATCTGTAAAGTATATGAAAAATAGTGTTAACAGTTAGGATGATAAGTGCAAATAACAACAATATATCTGGTATTATATGTTCTAGCATAGTATAAAGAAAAATCTAGCATGAATTGTTTTCGTGTTTTTTTTTTTTGTTTTTTTTTCAATCTTTAACTCGCATGTCAAGGGTTTGCTTTGGATAATACATAATACATAACATAATTTATTTTAGTATGATAGTGCAGAAAGGTTGGAGCTTACAGACACTCTCTAGAATCTCTTATAGGAACTTCAGCAATGGTTGTTTTAGTTTTTTTGCAGTGAAGCCAGCTAGCACAAACCTAGCAGGATTAAAACCTAGACTGCCAGCAAATCCTCCTATCATAAGTCAATTGTGTGAACAACTCAGTCAGACTGCTACCCTGAGCGACACTATGCGCTAGCTAGCAAATAGATTAATGTGAATATATATTTTAAAATTAAAAAATCCATCAACCCTCGAATTTATCAGATACTATCTTAATTTACAGGATATGAACAGCTTCCACAACCGTCATTAAAACAATAAATTTTAAGAGAATCTACACGTGAGAGAGGTTTGTATAACACTTACAATTTTTGAATTTAAGTCCCAACAACTGTCGACAATACGAGATGCGCAGCAGCCTTTAAATTGCACGCTGAATCGCAATAAAATACTATTTTGAAAGAACTGTGTTATAAAACGGGGCCTCAATTAAATGGGGAAAATTTGTTCTAGAAATAAACGCGTTTTGCTCGCCATTTCATTCGAAAACGCGCCGCCCGATTTATGGAAAAGGTAAGTCCAAATCAGAAGTTCAAAATCACAATAATAAGGAAAAATCATAAAACACCAAGATAAAAGGGCCGGTTTTATGCTTCCAAATTCAAGTTACTAACAGTATATTATTTTTTTTATAAAATCCCGTTCTTTAGGGGAAACACCCATAAAAACAAGATGATAAGCTTAGCGACGCAAAAATGAGACGCCTGACTCCAGATGCACTGTTACACAAATCAGACGTACACGAACATGAATGAGCTTCGCCAACTTTTGCACACTGGTCGCCTCCACTGTAATCTGAACAGGCTCTGGCAACAGCTGTAAAATGATAAAATAAAGTCTTTTAAGGATACTCAGTATAGATATAAATAAGAAATAGGGATGAAAAAAGAAAATGCCCCTTTTATCTCTGCTCACCTTAAAAATTAGCCAAAATATAACAAATGAGCATGTTTGAATCACATTCGCAAATATCAAATTATATTCTATTAACAAAAGGAATTTTATTTTTATCATCAATATTTGATTATTATGCTACACTAACATCTGATACATGAAATGTGATTGTGTTTTTTGGAACGTATGATTATAACTAACAAAAAATCCATTAAATATGATAAACAAGATCAACAAGGAAAGGCGGTGTTCAATGAACGCAACCCTCATACTACCCAGCAACAAGAACCAGTTAATTATGAAGGCTGGACATGGAGGGGAACACCAACACTGAACGCCGAACAATCCCTTGATGATGAAAATATAACAACATTATATTTATTATAGCAACATTTTATTATATTATAACATAAAGTTTCAAATATGAAAATTATGCATTAAAACTTTCAAGAATATCTAAACTTTTCAACATTCTTGACGGGTGTTTCTTATGTGCTTCCTCGACATTATGTTCTTTTTTGTTCACTTATTTTTGCATTATTGGTCTTTATGACACGACGTTATTGGAAATATATTTCGACATATTTATACCTTTTGCTTAAGATCTGTACCAAAAAAAATTCAGATTATTCGCCTAATCCGTCTTCTTGGATTGTATAAAATGGCCTAAAACTAAACAGCGTTTTGAACTGTCTTAGATCCAATTAGGCTGAAGATTGAACTAAATATCGATTTTCAATAGAATGTTGAGAATATTTCGTTATTACATTTTTTCATAGTTTTCAGTTCTGAGTGTCCTAGTTGATTTTTGTGTAGACTGTTAAGCATATTGGGGCAATGTGCCATGCGCAAGATTAACGTCCAGTCCATATCTTTTTGCCATTCAGAGGTAGATTTTGTAATAATGTTGCTTATGTTGCATATGGTACTTTAATTAAAACCTAATTAATGATGAATAGGAACAAAGTTGTAGCTTAAAGGACAAGGTCAAATTAGATTTAAGATTTATAGTTTTATAAACGTAAATTGACCAGTCTTTTCAAGTCGTCATCTATGTCACTCATGACTAGATTTTGAAATAACTAAGCTTACTTTGTTGCACATTAGGAAAGTTTGTCTGTAACACAGAAACGGAAAAGGTTGACAGAAAGGTAAAGGTTATACTTGAATGTCAAGATAGTATACTGATGGTTTTGTCTGGTAATGTCTTTATGGATACACTGAGAATAAAAGTATTTGTGTCTGTATTCTTGTAACATTCTTTTCATAATAACCATGCATTTGTTGCAAGTCAAAGGTCATGGTTACCTGACTGGGCCCTGTCTGTATGGAGGTGCATTGTGTCTGTTTCCAAAGACATGGCTTGTTATCTTTATATCACTTACCACCTTCATATTTGCCCTTAACACATGATCCCGCGCACGTTTCTATTGTGACATCGCTATCTTTTTCATTGAAAGGGTCGTTGCAGCTCAAACACTGGTAACATTTTATAGACTGTACGCTTATTACTGAAACATAAAGAAGAAACATTATAAAAAAACATGGTCATTGTTAACCTGCTGCCGACGTCACTGGGTATTTTCTGAGTTCAAATTAGGTTTTCAATTCAGGAATATTAGAAAATTTAAAGAAATAACACCTAATTGACATGCTCAGATATTCTTTTTAAAAGCGTTTTTATCACAAAATTTGGGATTGACCTTGTATCGGACAGAAACTGAACTTCTTTATTTGGGGACAAATCGCTTTTCATGGAATGGCCCTGACGTATGAATTTAAGGCTTCATGATAACCGCCGTATGAACACATTTGCGGATGTTTAAAAAGTTCACATATTAAATGCTGCGTAAGCCAGTGCTAAGGTTCGCTGACCGTAACCTGGACTTTTTAGTACCGTCCGCAACATTTTATAATTTTGCCATATGCATTATAGCACGATATAATTATATATGTATAGTTATGTATATATCTATAATAGGGTATTAATAAAAAAGGAGGTTACACAACAACAGAAAAAACAACAACAACAAAAAAAAAAAACAGTGAATTTCAATAAAATTACACTGTTTCTCAATCGCTTACATATATACACCAACCAAATGCTGCAAAAAGGACGATATTTAAGTATTGAAATCAAAGTAACATTACTGTAAAATTATTGCATGTACACGGAAAAAAACGTAACTCTGTAAAAATCGTTCTTACTGAAACAATATAAAATATCACACCTTACAAAAATTAAGTGTGTGTATTTGCGAGGGATATTTCACAAAACAAGCAATACCAACAGTTTTCAGTATAATTTACTAAAAAGTTTGTTACACAACCTGACTTCCAAGTTGACCTTTTACTATTATAAGTCTTTTATTATAAAAAGACCATCAATGCTTTGTTTTATTTCATGATTAATTAACGATTCATGAACTGTTCTGTATAATTATATGTGTATTCATACACGTATCATATTTTTAACAAATAATTATAGTTTTATTACTCACCAGTCATGAGAAATATCAAAATGCCAAACATCAATATATTTGAACTGTTCATTTTGAAAGAAACTAAGCTATTATAAATAACTGATATTTATTATATTGACTAATCCTTCTTTAACGCTGTCCAGGCCTTAAATGAGCAAATTTTCGTTCCCAGGCTCATCGGACTACTTTTTCGTTCCCAGGCTCATCGGACTACTTTTATTAAGAAAAGCTGAAAACCGACCTCATTTCGTCGAAATTAAGCTTTTATCTTCTACGCGGTTGTTTTATGTGAATGCATGATACAGGTGATATTGTATGATACAGAATAAACTGTTTCCTTTATCTGATACAATTTTATCAAACTTACACGACCATTAAAACGACATGTTATTACATATAGGCTTATATAATTAATCAAACGTCAGTAGATCAATCAAACAGTCAATCATGATCAATCAATCAGACTCATAAAAAAATTGTATTTAAATATCAAAGTAAGGCATGTCCTTTTTTTATCACAGAAGAAAGTTATCTCAATACTTATGAACCGGCTTCAATCATATTAAGCCTGCAAAAATTTTCAATTTGCTGTTACTTTTTTTTGGGATTCTTTTTTCTTTTTTTTTATGAAACTTTTTAAAAGGGAAATAAAACATAATAATGATTGTTTAGTTAACATGTATAATGCTTAACAATATTACAGAAAATTAAAACCATTTTTTTTTTAAAATTTTTTTAACTGCACAGTTTTTTTAGGTTTTTATTCATAGTTATATGTTTTTTTAATCAAATGAACAATTAAACTTGTTTATATAAAAAAGAGCCTGCAACAATTACATTTTCTGTGGGCAAAACATAAAGGTCCTCCTTTGATGTATTTCTAAATCATCTCGTAGACTTAGGGATAATGACAATTTGAAGATTAAATAGTTTTTGACTCTTATTGAATGTGTATACTTTTGCACACATAAATCGTATCTATTTAATAAAGACATAGATATGCGTTTAATTCATGATTATCAACAGTCCGTTTAATCGGACCTTACATTTCTCGTTAACACTAATGGTTACAAATATGAGCAAGGACTAAAGTGGTGTGCAATTCACAGACACTTCCACCGTACAACTACTAACATGGCACTCTACAGTTTTTTTCATGGTCATGGACAGCGGGAATACAAGGACCCGAATGATATTTCATAAAATATGTTTAATCTACTTACTTTTATTCATCTCCATTTGAAAATGGAAATTTCCCGCTGATGAAAGGACGTAGATTGATAACACTTGAAATGTAAAGTGATGCAGAAATATATCAAATGATTTGCTGATTTTTTTAAAAGGGGAAAATTATGAAAAGCAAGTAGATTACTCTGCTAAAAATTCAAAAAAATATAGGCAGTGACAAATTGTGTTTTTTTTGACAACGTTTTTTTATATAATAACGCGAATTAATGTTTAAATCTAGTAAAAATTTTTCACATTTTTTTTTTTTGATTGGTAATGGTTATTTCTCACAATTATTTTT